GCCGGAGCATTGAAACCCCCTGAAATCATTTGGTTCAGCTGGGGAAACAGTTTCACATCACTGTCGTCACCTCGGAACCCGTTGGAAGAATTATTATAAACTTGACTGGAGCCCACTGCTTGCACATCATAGGAATCCAGAGCAAAACCAGAATCATTTTCCACCTTTGGGGAAAAATTTATACTCACAGATTGAGATTGTGAACCACCAAGACTGAGTTCACGACCAAAAATCATTGGAAATGCCTTCGCCTGGACACAATTAGATTCCCCGAGTACTGTTTTAACCATCTCCAGAAAATTCTTGTCTTCTGGAATCGATTTGATGGAACCAATTTCCACAACTCCAGATTTAACTGGTACAAATACAACTGTCTGTAAACCAGCTGATCTTGCCAAGAACGATCTCCATTGATAATGATCTAAGCAGCCAGCTGTATCTGAAGCCCAAAGTGGTCTACCAGATTTATAATATTCTGCAAGTCCATAAGAGGCATCACATCTAAAAATAAAGTACATTGACGCAAGATAAAACATATCTATATCTGATATTCTTTCCAACTTTGCTGCATAGTTATCCTCCTCATTATCACTAAAACATGCGTGAAGCTTCCGAAGCACATGCTTTCTCAGCTCGTCTTTCTTCCCAACCCCCTGCAGTGTTCCATCACTGCTGGAATTCCCATCTCCAGCTCCACTCCCTTTCAGGTCCTGGCAGTGCCCATCCCCCCAAGTCAAGATAGAGCCACCAGATTTCAAACTTGACGCTTGCCAGCAAATTGCATAACTCCAATTAGTACCTTCCACAAGTTGGGATAATGCTTGCTGCACACCCAAACTTGCCGGCGGCAAGAGTAACTCCGAGAACACATCATTAGAGGCCAAGGAGACCAAGTACTCACAGGCTTCAGCACCTAATACTGACTCCACAACAGCCTTGTCTTCCTCACTATCCCAAAATTTCTCACCCATTTTTCTCTTCCCACAATTTTTCTCAACCAAAATTATCTAAAAGATTAATCACGTATTCAGCAACCACCTCACGAAATCAAACAACTATTCAATAAACTTGAACAACACCTGTTCCGAAGCTCAAGTTTCTCTCATCTGACAAAAACCCAATACTGGAACAAAAAAGAAATTTCGAAATTTCCGGTCCTATCGATCTACAAAACCGCCGAGAACAATCCATAGAA